ACAAAGTTCTAACTCGCTGGTACATTTACAACACCAAGGAGGCTTTGATTTCTCCAATCGGTGTTTCGTTTCACCCCCAAAAATTGACGTCCGAGGTAACAATTTTTTAGGGAAGTCCGCCAGATCTTGTCGAACTCTTCGAAGTATTACAAGTCTTTTCAATTGTTAGCAATCAGTTAGTTACCGAGTTTTGAAATTCCTTACTGTGGCTCAAGTCGTCTCATCATTAGTGTTAATATTGTTAACACCAGTTTGTTTTCAACGATTAAGAACATATGTATTTTTGATTATTGGTAATTGCCAAAAATTGTTAAGCAACTAATATATTTGACTTCCACTTATCACTGACGCGATTTTTATGATAGAACTTCATCTACGTGGCTTGCAATCATGGATGCCCCGTCTTGTTCTAAACGGCCAAGCAAGAATGCAGTGACTTATTTCAAAAGTGCATGGAAAGAAGAATTTCTTTTCATTGCGGACGGTGATCTTGTGAAGTGTTTGGTGTGCCACAAACAATTAAATCAAGTGAAAAGGTACAATGTGGAGAGACATTATACCGTGTATCACGAAATCGAATATATGTCGTATACACCTGAGCAGAGACGAGAAAAAATAGAAGCTCTAAAAGCTCAAATGTCAAGTAATGATGATGAAGCTGACGACGAACTTTCTATAATGGACGAAAATGTGCTGGAAGTGAGCTACAAAATAGCTTACGAAATTGGAAGGACGACTCTCCCGTTCACAGTTGGGGAAATTATAAAAAACAGCATGGCGATAGCTGCACACCACCTGTTCCCCAGCGAAATAAAGAAAGTAGAAGCCATCAGCTTATCGAGGTCCACAATTTCCCGTCGTATACGGGAAATTGCAGAAAACATGATGGAGCAATTGAGTGAATGTTCGAAGAAGTTTGTGGCGTATTCTTTAGCTCTCGATGAAAGCACCGATATTTCAGGCACACCAAAATTGTCCATTTTTATTCGCGGGGTGGACATTCATATGAATATTGTTGAAGAATTGTTAGACTTCTGCGATATGAAAGGAACGAAAGGAGAAGACATCATGGCATGCGTGGAACAATCAATTAACGACCACGATTTAGACTGGCACAATTTGGTGTCAGTAGCAACTGATGGAGCACCATCAATGATAGGGAGAAATATAGGTTTCGTAGGTCGACTGAGGCAAAAATTACAAAATTTACCAATTCCTCACAATATCATTGCGGTGCATTGTATAGTGCATAAAGAAAATTTATCCGCGAAAACGATTAAGTTTGAGTCTGTAATGACCGTTGTAGTGCAAACTATTAACTACATTCGTAATCACGGGTTGAAACGAGTCCAGTTTAAAACATTCCTGCAGGAATTAGATTCCGAATATGGTGAGCTGCCATATTTTACTGAAGTACGGTGGCTTAGTAGAGGAAAAGCTTTAGATAGATTTTTTAAACTTAGGGATGAAATAAAAAATTTTATGCAAACGGCAGGGAAACCGATTCCTCAATTAGAAGATAATAATTGGTTAGAAAACTTGGCGTTTCTTTCGGACCTCATTGACCACTTAAACATATTAAATGTCAGGCTACAAGGCAAAAAGAAGACAATAATTGATTTATTTGATGCTATACGGGCTTTCAAGATGAAGTTAGATCTTTGGGAAAAAGATTTACAATCTGGGAATACAACCCATTTTCCGAAATTACAATCAGTATGTACTGCTAGTACTTACGAACATTATCCGACCGTACTTCGTGAGCTTTACGACGAATTTACAGACAGATTTCGCGATATTTTAACGATGGAAAATGATTTTGACTTAATATCTTCTCCATTTTCAGTTAATTACGAGAACGTATCCCCACATTTGCGAACGGAGTTAATAGATTTAAGATGCGACAGAGTTCTAAAATTTCAATACGAGAAAAATTTGCACAATTTAATAGATTTTTACAAGGTTTTACCACGAGATCAATATCCGCAATTACATACAACTGCCGCAAAAATTTTATGTATGTTCGGCTCAACTTATACCTGTGAACAATTATTTTCTATAATGAAAAGGACAAAATCTGTTATTAGAAATTCATTAAGTAGTTACCATACTAAATGTGCATTAATAGTTCATTCATGCGAAACGTTTGTTCCAAACATAAAACAATTAGTACAACGGAAAAAATCGAAGGACAGCACACATGTATAAATTATATTGTATTTTTGCGAATAATGTGAATTTTACCCATGTGAAAAATTTGTAAATAATTGATTGATTGATTTGAAAATAATTTGTACTTCATATGCGCGTCACATATGTAATCTTCTCGTTCGGCGACAACGAAACAGTAGTAGTAAGTCTGTAAAGTAGTAGTAGTAATAAGTGTGCCGAAGTTGCCCGCGAGGGTTTCGAGCAGTGCCCGCCGAACTGTTTATGCCCGCGGTAACGAGACAGCCTGCCCGTACGGGCAAACCCTGAGCAGCTCTGGTCTAGGCTGACGAGAATCCCCACGAGTCGTGAACGCAGCAGTGAACGCGGTGTACAGGAGCAGAGGGAAAATTACATATTATGTCATCTTCGATTATCCGCATTTGATTAAACGCCTAGTGGCGCAATTTAGAAGCCACAGCAATATTTATGTTAGTAACGAGAATATAATTTCATTCGACGATATATGTGAAACTTGGAACTACGACAATACAATGAATTCTTCAAGATTGTTCCACACATATTAAGAATTTATTTATACCCGAACTCGTTTCAGTCGATGAATGTAAAGCATGCGGGAAGAAATTGGCTACGGCTAGAGAAGTCGCTGGATACGATCCATTGGGTATAACGAAGACCATGGACAAATACCGTATAATACAATAATTCATTAAGAAAATGGAGTAATAATTGATTATTGTAATTATTATTACATGAAAGGCCACAAGAAGAGACCTTTGTCCGTAGAGGATATGGATATACAATGGCTCACCAAAGTATTCGAACCCTTAAATTACAACTTTTAATGAATAAAATAAGGTGTACTAAACTAATTAAATCAGTTTGGTATCTATAGTAAGAGGAACGTCTGAAGATTACATCAGTAAAACTTGAAAATGATTCAACGACGTAGACAGAAGTTATTATATATTTGTTATAAAGTGCCCGTAAATCAGGATTATTGGAAGATATCCACTTCCAACACGATAACGATCCTAAGCATACTGCTGTAATTGTGAAAGAATGGATCATATATAACACACCCCATGCCCCATATGTTAATTACTCTACCACAAAGTCTAAACATAAATGAAAATGTATGGGTTAAAATCGGCAAAAGATTAAATAAATATGAAATAACTTCGAAACAGGTATTGAAACAAAAAATTATAGAAGCATGGAATTCCATGGAGTATATTTTTACAAAATCATTGGTTTATAGTATGGAACGTCGACTGAAGCATACCATTACTGCTAAAGGTGGTCCAATAAACTATTAATATTAAACAATGTAATAATATATGTAGCGTTCGAATACTTTCGTGAGCAACTGTATACAACGCGTAATGTGAATTTACGGAACGGTC